ATAGTGACCACAAGGGAGTTAGCAAACTGAGGTTCACAAGTGTTGTCCAGTTCTAATGAAGAAATGTTTAACAGCACTTGTGTCTAGATATGGTCCCTAGCAAGTGCTTGCAAAGCTCACAGTCTGTATCTGTGGCTGTGCCAATTTTAGTGACTATTATGGCTTTAGGAAAGAAAGGGAATGTGTACTCCTGATCAGATACAAAAGTATCTGTGTGAGACAGGATCTGGCGCATGAATGTTTAGAGCTTGGAAATACTAACGGATTTTAAATAGTAGCAACACACAGCATTTTCCGTGAGGGTTAATGCATTTTTACATACGTTTCTGTTAAATGCATCACAAGCACATTTTTGCAACGTGTAAAAAATTATTTGAACTGGATTTCAAATGTGACAAGTTGACCAGCTTTCCTGAGGGCAGCTCTAGATTCTAAATAGAGGGAATACATTCTAATGTCTAAAATGTACAAATGCACCTGTGTTCCCCTGAAAGTGAATTGCCCTCAACTTTAATTCATTAAGGTTTGCACAGTGCTTTGAAAATGTAAAGTGCTATATTAACTATTATTCTTCAGTATGATTTTTAAACAACATTTTAAATCCATGTACGCCTGTACTGTACCCACAACTAGAAACGTGTGATCCAGTGGCCAGAACACAGGGCTTAGAACAAGGAACTCCCAAGATCTAATCCCTCTTCAAGCACTGGGTTCATCTCTTGCGCTGGGTGAGTCACTTCAACTCCAAGTGCGTCAGTGGGATAATTAAACCTTCCCTACAGCACATATGCAAAGTAGCAAACACACCACATACCGGCTGCTAAATAGCATATGTGGATTTTTAAATCAACGTATGGTAAATGAGTATTTTTCTCCCTCCAAGGTTTCTTTCAACGGGTTTGGGGCAGGAGGAGTGTGTTCCCACTTGATTTCACAATGGGAAGCAGCAAGAGAGGGAAAGGAAGCAGATTAAAGAGCCACAAAGCAGCAAGATGTCACTGACACATGGGGGATGAAGGTAGAAGCAGAGTATGGGAAGAAAAATGGCCCCTTTGCATCCCGCAAGGAGGAAAGGGCCAATTCCAGGCTTAGAGGACTAGCCAACACGTAGTAGAAGCTGCTGTGGCCAAGGCAGTTCCAGTTTGGATGCCAGGTGTTACAACTGCCTCATCTATACTATGAGCTTATTGCATACTAGTTATTAGCTGTTAGCTAACACATAGTAATAAACCCACATCGTTTTTTCTGGCAAACACAAGGCCCAAGTGGTACTGATGGGTATTCAAATCTTGTTTAAACCATGGGTGGGGAAACTAAGGGCCAGAGGCCAGATGCAGCCCCCAGCTTGCCTGGATCCGGCCCCGAAGGCTCAGGGCTTTCCCCCATCCTCTCAGCATTTGGGAGCCCATGCTGGTGTTCCTGCCTCACCACATCCCCACTGCAGGGCTGGAACACACAAAATCTACCAGGCTGGGCCCCCCTAGGCTCTGGTGTGCAAGGGGAAAGTCTTCCCGCACAGCCCCCCCCCCCCCCCCCCCACTGATTTTTCTGTGGGTCTCTGGCCCAGGAACCAAAAAAGGTTCCCCACCCCTGATGTGAAACAGCACAACAGGCTCAAGCAAAGGGAGGAAAGGAACAAAGGCGACTGTGTGAAATTGCATAGGGCTGCCTCAGGCAGTTGGCGAGATGGAGTTCAAGGAAGAGGTATTCAAAGCCAGGGGAGGAAAAACAACTTGGCTTCAAAGTAATTTAAATGAATGTGTTGATTTGACACCCTTGCATTAAGCTGCAAACCAATTTCCTGCCTCATTAGGAATCCCCTGTGTTTAATTGGCATGGGTGTGTGATTTAGGGATTAAGGCAGGCGACTGAGTCAGGATTCCAGGAGTCTGTTACCACCACGCTGAGAAAAGTCACTGTGCTAAGTCTGTGCTCCTGTATAGTAACACCTCCCTCACAGGGGACTTTTGAGGCTTCCATAACAGGTGTGAAATTCTCTTATTTACCCAGCAGTGACTTACTGAACAAGACAATCTTCCATCTGATACTCTAGAGTTTTCCACACCATGCTTCCAGTTATGTCCTCTGGCCAAAATTCTGCACAGCTGTACATGGATGTAATTCTCTAGTACTTCAATGGATGACTTCCGGTTTACAGCAATGCAACAGGGAAGAATGAGTCCCTCTGTGGTTTTGTATTGGACAGGAGACTGCTTTGTATCTTGCCCAGGGAATCATTTGCATGACACTTGAATCACCATCTATTAATTATTTTAAGATCCCACCTTCACTTAATTCTGCAAGGCTCCCCCACCTGTATAAACCCTTAGCTGTCAATATTTTACTTTGACTTCACTATCCAAGAACAGGGGCGGGTTTTGTCTCGATAATTTTGTTGTAGACTATTTTTTTAAGAAAAACAAAAACATTGTAAACATCCTCTATTTACTGTAATTAAAGTTATTTATTTGGCTACAGTAGCACGCAATTCGTAAATAAAGATCTCCAGAGGATTTAGACACATGCTTTGAGTCTGAAGTATTTATATGCAGCTTTAAAACAGATCATGGAATGGCTTGTTTATAGAGGAGACCTGGATGGGAAAGTTCACAGTGCAAGTTGGATTGGTTGTTGGGTTAAGCCGAAGAGCATTTGAAAGCACTACGCTCAGATAAAATGAAAGGCTCACTTGAAACTCTGTGAAAAATGGAGAATTTTTCCACCAAAAACAGCTCTGTAATGAGTAATAAAGATGTAGCCATGTTAGTCTGATTTTGCTGAAACAAAAGACAGGACTATGCAGCACTGTAAAGACTAACAAGATGGTTTATTAGGTGATGAGCTTTCGTGGGCCAGACCCACTTCCTCAGATGAAATTGTGGAAGAAAATAGGCATGACCACATATACCAAAGGGATACAATCAAAAAAAGTGAACACATATATAAAATTATCACCCCTAGCATCATTATCTCATAGACACTAACCTTCCCTCCTCACTTCCCCCACCCCCATTCTAAAATCTGATTTGTCAATTTTATTATATGTGTTCACTTTTTTTGACTGCATTCCTTTGGTATATGGGGTCATGCCAATTTTCTTCCACAATTTGATCTGAGGAAGTGGGTCTGGCCCACGAAAGCTCATCACCTAATACCATCTTGTTAGTCTTTACAGTGCTGCATAGTTCTGTCTTTTGTTTCAGCCCTGTAATGAGATTGTGCTAGCGTTCTGGCCACGGTCTATCGCAGGTGATTGTATACGGTTATTCTACCCCATGATGTAGGGACACTTCCTCTAATTCTTCTCCATTTTGTAAGATTAGCAGCAGAAATTTGATTTGCACCTGCTGTTTAGAGAACTTCAAAAGGGAGCTGTGTTAGTCTGCAACTTTAAAAACAATGAGTATTCCTGTGGCTCCTTAAAGCTTAACAAATAAATATATATAACCATGAGCTTATAGCTTTTTAGATATATAACACAGCAGAAGTACCACCTGCATTTTAGAGGTAGACGCAACAATATCTATGATATATACAGAGGGCCAAATTCAGCCTGAACATATACACCTCCTTCTGTGCCATCAAGTCTGAATTTGGTCAGGAGTCCGGGAATCTTTGGTTCAAGGGTCCTAATAAAAGTGCAAGATATTTCCATGCAGCCCTGAACATTTACACATTTGCTATTATAGCAAAGAAAGACCATAGGGACCCTTTAAAAGAAGAGTAACTAAGCGGAACCTCCCCTAAGTCCTCCATTTGGATGCTCAGAACTAAGATACCTAAGCGG